TTTTTTTTTTTTTTCAAATAAGTTTTATGAGGAAATGTTGACCAGTAATTTATTCTTATTACTAGAAAAACATGAAACAAACAATGTGACTTTATATTGTATAATTGGAAAATGTTATGATCCCGTTACGGAATTATTCTATCGGAATTCGTTACCTTTAGATCATCATGTAACCGTCGGGATAGTTGATTTAACGGTTAGAAACCCCGACGGAGAGGGAACATTTTTTCAATATTCTTTTTGATTTCATAAAAAAAAAAGATTATCCGTTTTTTAAAAATTGAAGAAAAGCATGAAAAATAGGAAAAACCGGCTATCGAAATCGAACTGATGACCTTTGCAGCGCTTTATTCTGTCTCCGCTTATGCAAGGCAAGCCGACACAATAGGAATTGCGATCCGAAGAGCTTTGCTTGGAGAAGTAGCTTATCAGACTAAGAGCATAGAAAACTAATTGGGTGATGCTATATAGCCCCCTTCATTACAACGTGGTTTACAACCATGTGTAATGCAAATGCCTCCATTACACATAGTTTACAACCATATGTAATGGAGGGTGGCAAAGTATCAAAATTCAAACTAATTAGGAAGTGTGAAAAAGAATTTGTGGGAATCCAGATAGTTCCGTAACGAGACCGTAACATCTTCTATAATTATATATGGGTAAAGTCCACTTTTGGTCCTCCATGTTTAAGGGGTGTCCAGACTGAGTCCCTATTATGTTTAGGTGCCCAATTTTAGTCCTTAAAACACAAAAATGTAGTCCCTTAACTTAATTTCTGTCAATTAACGGTCAGTTTTTGAGAGACCGTAATGTCCATTATTTTTTTATTATTTGTTGACTAATGTCAACTTTGACCAAACAAAAATAAAAGAAAATTTAAATGCTGAAAACAAATTATAAAAGAGACAATGATGAACTGCAATGAAAGTGAAAGACAATAACAAAAAAACCCTAACCGCCGCCTAGGGAATAAATCCGATCAAATGGATGGAAATGGTGTGGTATTTTGTAGATGTGGGCTGGTTGCAAAGTTGACTACATGCTGGAAGGATGATAATCCCGGGAGAAGATTCTTGAGTTGCCCTCTATATCCTGTAAGTAATTTCCGTGAACTTCAATTGATCAATACCCCTTTCTTATTGTTTATTGGACTGATGATAAGAAATAGTTAAAAAAACAGAGGGTTGATAGGTGCAATTTTTTTCGATGGCATGACCCGGAAATGGGTGCAAGAGCAGTAGCTGTGATTCCAGGCTTGCTCCACAACGCTAATGCTAAAGAAATAGAAATCAGACGCCTGAAGAAGCAGCTATTTTATATGCAGATTGGTGGGATTGTTTTGATGGTTCTTTGGCTCTACGGTTTGATGAAAGTTTGAAAGGAAATGAAGGAATGAAGTATGTGTTGAAGGTGTTCGATGAAATGCTCAAGACAGTAGCTGTGTTTGAATGGACTTTTGTTTTGTTTGTATGGCTCTATAAGAAGACTAATTCAAGGGAAAAATTAACTGTGTTTTGTAACTTCATTTTGGCTATCCTTGAGTAGTTAAGAATGTATTCACTTGTCTTTGTTATTCATGTGTAAGACTAATTCAAGTGTATTTCATGTTGTATGACTATTATTCAGTAGTTATGTGATATTAATGTTGGAGATGTTTATTGTTGTCTGAAGTGATTTAGTTGAACCACATTTGCAAGGTTGAGGTTTAGTAAATAAATGTATTGATAGTAAACTAAAATAATTATTTGTAAGGAGTGGTTAAAGATGAATGTGTAACTCCAAATGTAGAACACTTTAACACAACATGAATAACATCTTGAACATCCCATTAGATTGCAGTAGTTTTTAGTACACAGAATAGCAACAAAAGATGAAAACCTAGTGTAACCTTGTTTTTAGCAACAAAAGAACATCAACAAAAGATGATAACCTAAAGAAACCTTGATGTTACACAACAAAAAACAGCAAGAAAAAGTTGATAACCTAAAGGGACCTAGATTCCTTTATAGCAACAACCTTATGCAAAAGATCAACCACTATCATCCTAAATCAAGTACTGGAGAAACCTCCTTAGGTAATTTTCAGATTTCCTTGGACTTGACCTTCATCTTAAAACTAGAAGGAACTTTGCTGAAAACACCATCTGTTGGCAGGGAAGATGATGGCATCTGGTACATTTCATAAAGGTCCTTGGTTCTTGCAATTACCTTTTTTGTCTCTTCAGTCATATTTGCTACCATATCAGCTGCATCTTTCACATTTGTGGTTGCAATTTCTTTCCTTACATTCAACAGCTGAGGGGGCTTATGAATTGGATGGGGTGGTGGAGTCATACCAAACTTTTTCCATACTGCCTTGTGATCTTTATCATCATCCATGGTATTGTTCATAGTCTTCTTCTTTGCAGTTTTTCCCTTCACATTTGCTGCCTTAGTTACTCTTTTCTGCTCACAATAATCCAAATGAAACCATAGTGTGTCAGGCATCAGTGAAGATCAACAAATGAAACCACATAATGTAAGCAAAAATTTCTAAAATTTGTATATACCTCAATAACAACATTGTTTGTTTGCATATGAACAGGGGCAGAACTTGTTATCAAGGGAATTTCATCATCCCAATCCTCATCTACTAGCTTGAGTCCAGTTTTCTGCTTTTTCTTAAGTCGTCCCTTACATGTTGGCAGCTTATTTTCCTGACCTTGGGGAGCATTTTCAATCACTGTTGTTTCTTGGGGTTGGGATGATGACTGAAGCACAACCAAATAAATTAAAATTAAGACCAAATGAAAATATGAAAATGGAATGAAAATAAGGCATTGTGGTAAGTAAAAAAAGGCAAATGTTATGAAAAAGATCTTACTGATTTTTCAGTGATTCTCCTCATAGGCTCATGCATCTCTGTTTCTTCAACATCATTGTGACTACTATTCTGACCTTTTTCCTTACCTTCAGAGAACCTGGACCCTTCATTCATCTCTAAATTTTGTCTCTTACTGCTGCAGTGACCTGCAATGACACTTAACATTTCCTGCAAAGACTCATACATAGAGTTATATTTGGAATATTTTCCTGAATGTTAGTAAAGTATTTTAATAGATAACTAACTGAAAATTAATGTACATCATCATTTCATCAAAAGTAAGGTCAACTAACCTCACTGTCATCAAACCACATCAACTGTTTTGGGAGGCCTTCATTTGGCATCTGACCATCCTGACATCAAATGAAAATTTTGATTAGTGTCATTCATTTAAAAATAAGGCTACAAAAACCAAGATCTTTCTATAATATATAATACCTGAAGCTGCTTATCACCAATATCATCCAAGAAGCTCCCAAGATCAACAATGTTCAAATCAAGAAATTCAGTAGGTGGTTGTTGACCTTGTTCCCCTGCTGACCCTTCATTGCCAAGACTAACTGTAACAGCCTTAGGACATTTCCTTTTGTTGTGGCCCAATGCACCACATTTGCCACAAGTTTGTTGAGTAGGGGTTTGTTGACTTGTAGGA